TTTTTAAAAATTTTTTATTAAAAATGATTTCACCAAGATGTTTATCAGAATTAATAGATGATATTCAATCTAAAGATTTAAAACCATATAAAATAAATACAATTAATGAAGTAAACAGCATAAATGAATATATAGGCAATGAAATGACTAAATTAGAAATAGAGAATAGTTATAAAGAAAATGAGTCTAATGAAATTTTAATTAATTTTGCTTTACTTAAAGAATATAAAGAAAGAAATGATATGATAGTAAATGCTTATAAATTTAATAGATTATTAAAAATAGAAGATAGAATTCATACAAACATTGATTATAATTGTTTAAGCAATGATGAGATAAGTTTCTTAAAAGATTATAAATTTATAATGAAAGAATATTTTAAAAAGTATAAATTTTTAGATATAAAAAATAGGGATGTACCCATTAATTTGTATGTTCAGATACTAGTGTTAGAAGATTGTGGTGTTGTGTATACAGATAATGATTTTATAGATTTAAAAAAAGATCATATTTATTATTTAAAAAAGAATGATATAAATCACCTATTAAAGAATGACTTAATTAAGATAATAAAAGAATAGAGAGTTTATTTTTGAATAATAAAATTTAAAACAGTTATGATTTTGAAACAAGATAAAATAAATACCAATAATCTGTAAACAATATGAAGTTTTTATTAAACAATTTGATATACTTAAGTTTAATATGTACTAAGGAAGAAAAGAAAGAAGATAATACATTTAAGATTAATTTAAAGGATATTGATAGTTCTAGAAATTTATTGAAACAAATTTATGAGAAAGCTGAGTTAATGGGATTTAATTTTAAGGTAAATAATAGTGGATTGAAACCAGCTAAAGAGGGGGGTAATGAGTCTAAGTCTGGAGGTAAAAAAGAAGAAGGAGCAAAAGAAAGTAAACAAGGTTCTGCAGATAAAGCAGGTAAGAATGAACAAAAGAAGCAACAAAAACAAGAAAATCAACAGAAAAAAGAAGAAAAGTCTAAGAAGAATGAAGAAAAGAAAGTAGAAAAGTCTAAAAAGAAAGAAGAGAAGAAACAAAAACAAGAGAAGAAAAAAGAGGAAAATAAACAAAAACAGGAAGATAATAAAAAGAAGCAGAAAAAGAAACAAGAAGAAAAGAAAAAGAAACAAGATGTGAATAAGAAAAAGAAACAAGAAGAAAAGAAAAAGCAGGATGAAAAGAAAAAAGAAAAGAGTGAGAAAAAAGATAAAGAACCAAAAGCTTCTAAAAGTAATAAAGAGAAAGAACCAGCTAAAACTGTTAAGAAAGATTCAAAAAAAACAGAAACTAAATCAAGTGATAAAACTGCTAGTACTAAATCAAGTGATAAAACTGCTAGTGCTAAATCAGATGATAAATCAAGTGATAAAACTGATAGTGCTAAATCAGGTGATAAATCAAGTGATAAATCAAGTGATAAAACTGCTAGTGATAAGTCTGATATTGATAAATCTGAAAGTAAAACAGATAGTGATAAATCTGAAAGTAATTCAGCAAGTCAATCTGAAAACAAATCTGAAAGTAATTCAGCAAGTCAGTCTGAAAATAAATCTGAAAGTAATTCATCATCAATGAGCTCATCACAACCATCATCTTCAATGAGTAATAATTCATCATCAATGAGTTCATCACAACCATCATCATCAATGAGTTCATCACAACCATCATCATCAATGAGCTCATCACAACCATCATCATCAATGAGTAGTAATTCATCATCATCAATGAGTAGTAATACACAATCAGCAACAGCAGACATGAATATATTACAAAAGAATGAACAATTAAAAGATTTATTATCAATTGATAAAACAAAAGCAGAAGAAATATTAAAAAAATGTCCAGAATGTAAAAAAGTGGATAATGTGATGTGTTATAAGGATGGAGATGTATATAAAGATTATACAGGTAAAATAACATTTAAAATGATAAATGGGGTGTTAATGGATGATACTGGAATATTTGGAGGAAAAGATTGTGGATGTGGTAAATCAGAGATACCATCTAAAGGAAAGTTAACACCAAATGGATTATTACAAGATCCAAGTGTAAGTGATGAAGATTTGAAGGCACAAAAGAATTACATAGATAAGTTAGCAGAAGGAAATAGTCAATCAGGTAGTAATAGTAGTGTAAGTTCAAGTAATAGTAGTTCAAGTAGTAATGTAACACAAAATAAATCAGTAGCTTCAAGTACATCAACATCAGGTGGTTCTAAGGCTGCTGGTGGTAGTCAAGGTTCAGGTAGTTCAGCAGGTAGTGGTAGTCAAGGTTCAGGTAGTTCAGCAAGTGGTGGTAGTCAAGGTTCTAGTGGTGGAAGTTCTGGTGGTTCAGCAGGTAGTGGTAGTTCAGGTTCAAGTGGTGGTAGTTCTGGAGGTAGTCAAAGTAAAGCTAGCACAAATACAGCTGCTAGTGGTGGCTCAGGTTCATCAGGTGGTGGATCTGGATCTAGTGGTGGTAGTTCTGGAGGTAGTCAAAGTAAAGCTAGTACAAATACAGCTGGTAGTGGTGGTTCAGGTTCATCTGGTAGTCAAGGTTCAGGAGGTAGTCAAAGTAAAGCTAGCACAAATACAGCTGCTAGTGGTGGTTCAGGTTCAAGTAATAATTCTAGTGGTTCATCAGGAAGTACTCCAAATTCTAATATTTCTCAACAAACTACCAGTCCAAAAGAAACAACTCAATCAATTATTCCATCAGGTGGGAACACTTTAAAATCACCAATTCAATTTAAAGCTATTAAATTAAAATATGATTTAAAAGGAAGTTGTGAAGATGAAAAGATTAAAGATGATTGTGAACCTGAAAAAACAATTGAAAAACAAGAATGTAGTACAGAACCTGAACCTGAATGTAACAGTGAATCAAGTAAGGACGTTAAATCTACATCTGAGTGTGATAGTATTAAAGAGAAAGAAAAGAATGTTTTAATTAAAACTAAAACGGAATTAATTACAACCACTAAAGTAAAAGTTCAACCTAAAACTGAATATGAAACAATTACAAGTACTAAGCCTCCATGTACAAAATATATAACTCAACCACCTACTACTGTTATTAATACAACAACCTTTATTACTAAAGAAGTTATTACTAAAGAAATTCAACCTAAAACTATGGAATTACCTAATAAGGAAAGTAATTTAAAAAATAATTGTGAAGATAAAAAAATAAAAGATGATAAAAAAATGAATAAAGAAAATAAATGTGAAGATAAAAAGATAAAGAAAGATGATAAAAAGATAAAGAAAGATGATAAAAAGATAAAGAAAGAAAATAAATGTGATGATAAAAAAGATGATAAAGAAATAAAAAATGATAAAAAAATAAAGAAAGAAAATAAATGTGAAGATGAAGAAAGTTTAGAATTTATTAGTGATGAAGAAAGTGATGAAATTTTTACAATTAAAAGAAAGATAATAATTGATGATAATGGAGAAGAATCACATGGAATTAATTGTATACCAAATTGTCCATGTGACAAAGAAAATAATTGTGTTAATCCATGTGAAGAATTGATATGTGAGGTGATTTAAAAGAATAAATTAATTCATAAATTTACTTTCTTTATATGGATGTCTATTTTTATTATGAAACATGTTTCATAATAAATATAATAATGAAATTGTATTTATTTACATGATAAGTTTAAGTATTTTAAGTATTTGCTGTGAGTTTTTTAAACCAGTAGAAGAGGGTATTAAAGTAAATGATAATGCAGTTAAAGAAAAGGATAACTTAATTAAAGATTCTAAAGAGAAAGATGATAATGTAAAAAAAGATGAAGCAATTAAAAGTTTAAAAGAAATGAGTGTGGATAAAGGAAGTGATTTAGAGTGTGATAAGGAGATTAATAAGTCAGAAGAAACTGTAAAATTTAATTTAAATGGACATCCAGTAACAGCCAAAGTTGAATTAAGAACATTAGCAGTTTTAAACTTTAAAGATGAAAAAGGTAAAGAAGTCTCTACAAATGAAAAGTCAATGCCTGAAATTATTGAAATTAATTCTAAATCAAAAGAAGGTTTGAATTCTAATAACAAAGATAATAAGAAAAAAGAAAAGAAAGATGATGATTTAATTAAAAATAAAGAAGATGATTTAATTAAAAATAAAGAAGATGATTTAATTAATAAAGAAGATAGTAAGAAGAAGAAAATAGAAAATAAAGATAATGATTTAATTAATAATAAAGAAAATAACAATAATAAGAAGAAAGAAGATGATTTAATTGATAAAGAAAATAATAAAAGTTTAATTAAAAAAGAAAATAACAATAATAAGAAGAAAGAAGATGATTTAATTAATAAAGAAAATAAAAATTTAATTAAAAATGAAGATAAAATTGATTTAACAAAAATTAATACAAAAGAAGAAGAAAATTTAAATAAAGAAAATGATATTAAAAAAAATCAATTAGATGGAAAAGTAAAAGATAAAATAGAAGATTTTAAAGAGAATGTTCAAGAGAAGCAACAAAAGAAAGCAGAAGAATCTTATAAAGAACAAAAGGAAAAATTAAATGAAGAAAAAAAGAATTTAGAATCATCAGTAAAAAAAGAAATTGATCAAATGAAAGATGACTTTGATAAAAGAATTAAGAATGCCGAAACTGAAGTTAAGAAGAATGCTTTAAAGACAGAAAAGGCGATGCGTGAAGATAAAAAGAAAGCAGAATTGGAAAAGGGTAAGAGTGAAATTGATAATAAGTTATTACAGTGTGAGTATGATTATAAAATAAAAGTTGCTAAATCAGATGAAGAAAGAGAGAAATTAAAAAAAGAATTATCAGAAAAGAAAGTAAAGAAACTTGAAAGTGATATTGAAAAGAAGAAAGAATTTCAGGTAAAGAAAATGAGTGAAAAGATGAATTTAAATAAGGAGATTAGAAAAGCTAAAATTGAAAAGGAAGAAGATCCAGATAAGAAAGAAATTGCTAAACTTAATTCTAAATATAAAGAAGATTGTGATAAGTTAAGTATAAAATTAGTACAAGCAAAGAATTCTGATGAGAGGAATAAAATTAAAGAAGAATCTGCAGAACGTAAAAAGAAGTATCAGCAAGATTTACTTGAACTTAAAAAAAAACAAAAGAAAAACAAGGTTAGTGAGGAATTTGATAAAAAAATTAAAGAGTCAAAAAGTGATGAAGAGAAGCAGAAACTTAAGGATGAAAAAGAGAAAAAACTTGCTGAAATTGAAGAGGCTAAACAACTTAAAGAAGATTCCTTGTTTGAAGCAGCCAATGAATTCCCTTTTTTTAGAATCAAATTACCAAACTCAAGTGAATATGAATTTAATGATAATGATGAAATTAAAGAAAAAGAAGATGATAGAAAAGTTAAAGAAAAGAAACAAACTGATTCTAACAATGATAAAACTGACGAATTATCATCATTTGGTGATCTTTTAGGTGTTTTAAAGGAATTACCAGAATTTAAAGAAGGAGATGAAGATGAGACAGTTTATTTAGAAGCTGATATTAATTTCCCACAAGAGAAACAATTAAAATCTAAACATTTTAAGATGTCAGGACATTTAGGAATTGATAATTAAAAGGTTTATTTATTTTGTTTTAGTTTTAAATTTTTTATTAGTTTTTGTGTATAAAAATGAATATGTTAAGATATTTAATTAACTTAATATTGGCTGAAGAGATAATTGATGTTACAGTTAAACCCCTGGGAAATGAACATTTATTTAAAAATAACAACGAAAGAGCACAAATTGTTAAAATAATAAGTAATAAATTAAAGGAATCATTCCTAAAAAGGAATAATTTAATAGAACCTTCTAATATTTTAAATATTAAAAAAATATCTAAGTATATTCCTACATCATATAAAATAGAAAAGTATATTGTGAAAAATTTGAAAGAGTTTAGAGGATCTGGATACAAAATAAAAAATATTTCTATATATGATGAGAGTGGAAAATATTTTGATTATTTTTTAGATGTTGAATTTATAAGAGTTGGTGAAAATTTTATAGACAATAAAAGCGGTGTGTTAATTGGCAAGTTATTTAACTCTCGAGATGAACTTATTAAAATGTCTAAAATGAGTAAAACTGGATTTTGGATTGATAAGAATACAACTGAAATGGAGGATGAAATGAACTTGAATAATGCTAAAGCTCTTTTGGCTGAACAAATAAAAGATGTTAATAATATCAAAAAAATTACATCTGATTGTGATATTCCTTTAGTTGATACTCTTATATTTGAAGATTCTTATCCAAATAAAAGAGATGAGGTTGTTACTGTTTGTGTTTGTTCAAATAATGATTGTTCTGAATCTTGTAAAGAAGTTAGAAAGGTGTTTAGAAGAGATTTATATGAATATTTTTAAATAAAATTATTTATTATTTAAATTAATAATTAAAATAAAAATGTCTTATTAGAAAACAACAGTTTTTAAATTTTTTAACTTTATACTTTAAGCTTGATTTCAGAGATTAAAAAGAAATAACTTTTATTATTAGCTGTTGAAAAATCTCTGGTGTGGTGAATAATCTAACACTGGTAATTTTTAGTTCGATTCCTTATAAATCTCTTTAAAAATATTAATTTATTAAAAAACAATTTTTTATTATTAAATAATAAAAATTTATAACTTTATGTAATTATTGATTTATTAATAATTAAAATAAAAATGTCTTATTAGAAAACAACAGTTTTTAAATTATTTAACTTTATACTTTAAGTTTATTTCAAAGATTTATAAGAACAAACTTTTATTGTTACTGCCGTAAGAACTCTGGTGTAGTGAATAATCTAACACTGGTATTTTTTAGTTCGATTCCTTATAAATCTCTTTTAAAATACTATTTTATTAAAAAACAATTTCTTTATTATTAAATAATAAAAATTTATAACTTTATGTAATTATTAATTTATAACTTTATGTTTCTAAAAAATTGTTATAATAATCTGTTAATAAATAAAACCTTTTAAAATTATTTTCCTTATTTCATTTCTTAAAAATTAAAAATAAAAAATTTTTATAATAATTTTATCAAATATAAACTTAGATGTATAATAAACGCTGTTTGTTCTTAATTATGGAACAATGGTTTTTGAAATCGATTCTTAATTCTTTACTTAAAATTTTAATACTAAAGCATTTTAAATATTAATAATATTTAATTTACTACTTTAGAAATTATTAAAACAGTGTTTAAAAAAATAAAATAAAAACTAATCGTTAATTATTCGTGATTGAATGATAAAATCTTTTTAAAGTTTTAAGTGAAAAAAAATTTGTCAAAAAAATTGTTTATTTAATTAAAAATAACTATTTCTTTTAAATACTGTATTAGAAGTTTCTACACTCACTTTAATATAATCAAATTATAAAGATAAAAATTAAAATCTTAATAGTTATTTACTCTGTAAAAATTTAATATATAAAACCAGTTATTAACATTTAAAATTCATTGCAAACATTTTATTAAATAAAATTAAATTTAGAATTTAATAAAAAAAATAGTTTAATTAAAAGTTTAAATTTATTGTTAAAAAAAATTTTAAACAGATTGAAGTTTCCTTCAATTTATATATTTTTAAATTCAATTCTTATTCTAGATTTAAATATAACATATATTGTACATCTTACGTATAAATTTTATATCTTATATATAGAAATAAATAGTATTAGTTATTACAATAAAATTTTTTATTATATTCAACTATAAATCTTATATTTTTTATTTAGTCTAATTAAGAAAAGTTATTTATATTTATAAAGTTAAAATTTTCATTTATTAATAAATTTAATTATGATATCAATTTTTTAATTTTTAGAATAAAAAGATCAAAATTATTAAACATTTTAAAAATAAACAAAGATTATTTTATTCTTTTTAAAAATAAAAAATTTATTTATTTAATCTCATTTAGTGTTTGTTACAACTATTACAAATGATGTCATTGTTTCAGATAATACTATAAAAGGAAATTGAAGCAAATAAAATACTTTTTTATGAAAGATTTTAATTATAAAAATAATAAAGATTATAAATGTGATAGAAGTAGTAGTATTTAAATATTTAATCAAAGAAAATAAATTGTTATCAAGTTTAAAAAAAATTATTTTAGTAGTGTAAAGACTGTTATGTGATAGATATATTTCACATTTGCTTTTTAAGATCGATTTTCATACGAGATTTTTTTATTTACAACATCATTTGTTAATTTATATTGAAAATATTTAATGTTTAAAAAATATATAATTAATAACAAAGAGAGGTAAGTTAAAAATTATTGCCAATTTCCCATTTTTGATGTTCGATTCTTATATATGGTTTATATTTTATCATTAAAAAAATTTTTAAATAATGCTGGAGTTGCGTCTTATCGAAAAATTAATCGCTAAGCGCTTTTTATGTTCGATTTTAAAAAAATCATTTAAAATAATTTTTATAATTATAATATCTATTTAATTATTTTATAATAAAATATGTTTTATATTTAATATTACAGTAAAGTGATATATCAGATTTAAATTTATAAACCTTTTTTTGAAGGTTCAGTTTTTAAGTTAATAAAATTAAAATTATTTTTTATATTAAATCTTCATTTTATAGAACTTAAAATTATTCTTTAAACATACTTTTTAAAGAATAAAAAATACACATTGGTTAATCTTGTTAACTTTCTTATTAAAAATTGATTATAAAATTGATAAAAAAACAATATATTATTAAGTAATATAATTAATTAATAAAACAACTCTTTAGTAAAAAGTTATTACCAAAACCCTCAGAAAGCAAAGAAAGTAATTTATTTAATCTGTATATAAAGGTACACCCTATCTCTATTCTATTCTCCTCTTCATCTATTCCATCTATCTTGTTAATATTAATTATCTTATTTTCTAACTCTATATCTGTCATAAGGGTAAAATTTTTATGTCAAATTTATAGATATATTAATTAATTTTCCTTATAAAGACATTCATTCAATAAACTAGTTCAATGTGCTTTATTACATATTAATTCAACTATAATAGTTAGAGTAAAATATTAAAAAATATCATAAGAGTTTTTATATCTATATTTGATTAAATTGTTTTTATTAATTAAAATTAGTAATTTTCAATAAAAATTAAATTTAAATTTTTATTAAATTAAGTTTAAAACTGGGTTTGAAAAAAGTAATTTTTTATCGTTATTTGACGTAAACTTAAAAGTAAAAATGATAATATCAGGTATTTTTGATGAAATTATATTTTCTTTTTTTTAGATAATCTTCTGATTAAAAAGTCTATGTAAAAATTTTACCTACAAATATTGAAAATAAGATAGACAATAGGATAAATAAGATCACTAACAGATCAATAGTAGAATATCATACAACAGAGAAAGAATCCCAATTTAAAAACGGGAATTATACGAATAAACTTCTAACTACATCCTCTATTGGTTTTTGTAGAAAGTATAATTAAAATTAAATGTTCACCTTATGTTAAAAAAAGAAAATTTTTAGTTTATATTTTACTTAGTAAATAGTAAAAAAACGTTCAAAAAAATTGACATATTTTATTTAATAATTGATATGTTTACTTTTTACCTGATAAACATCTAAAACCCTCTTATAGAAACTTAAAATACATGATCTAATTATTTTAGGTGTAAAAAATTCTATGTTAAAACACTTTCTTCTTTAAGATTTTTTAAGCTTGCTTTTTACTCTTAAAAACATCTTTATATATAAATATATTCAATATAGTTTTTATCTTAATTTTTTAGTGCTCACTGTAGTGCACAAATATTCTGTTTTTCTAACCAATTACTTATTAAATTAAAAGTATGTTTGAGATAATTATTCTACTGTAAGATGTATTAATCAAGTTCTGTTTTAGAATCAAATTGTCTTTAATTTTAGCTAATAATCTATTTAGAAGCTCCCTCAGTCATAGTATTTTCAATAAAAAAAAGTCTCTCAGTTCTTTAATATGATTTAGAACCTCGCACTATAATAGTTCTCCATTATGTTTACTGTACCAGCTGTATTTTTCAAATCTTATATTTTTAAATTTGATATCTTTTACACTTAGTCAATCACTATTGAATAGGTAAATTTAGTCTTATCGATGAAAATTTTTTTAATGTTTCATTTTTCATACTTAAAACTTTTTAAAAATTTTAAAATTTTTAATTATGTTAATGGGTCTAAATAAGAGCTTTTTCAAATTATATTAGTTTAAAAACTAAAATAGGTACTCCTTAGATTAGGGCCAAAAATGACTACTTCAATTTATTCAAATTTTTTGGCCTTGGTCTCAATTGAAATCATATTATATAATTTAATTATACGTCTAATAAAAATAAAAATATCTTAATAATAAATAAAATTTAAGATGAAAAGCTTTTATATATATAAAACGAGTTTTTTTAATGATAAAAAAATATTTAAATGAGACAATTTTATGTTAAAAATATTTAAATATTATAAAAATAAATATATTTTTATTAAAATATCAAAACCAATCAAAAAAATAAATTAAAACCTAGTTTATTTTTCAATCTCATTAAAATTTACCTTTTCATAGCATTTTTTAATTATTGAATTATTAAACTTACTTCATGATTTCATAAAAAAATGAGTTATCCTTTTTTTATCTATGCTTGAAAAAGATGAAAGAGGAGTGATTTTATAATAATTCTAGAGTAGTCCCTCTTTTGTTTCGTAAAATAATCAATTTAGCTTTCCCCGCAAACTCTGAATTAGATGATTATGGCATTGGATCTCTAGGTTAATAAATAACTTGGAATGATTCGCTGTAAAGTCTTCTTCTAAGTCTTTGTTGACCCTACTATAAGCTTTCTGGCAATCCGTATGAATAGTTGAGTGAATATGTGTACGTTTTTTAAAAATAGGAATGGGTATTTTTGCATCCCTCTTGTTTACAACCTGCATGTAAACATCATGAGTTATAACATAACGCCGTAACTACTGTTACTGCTGTGAGGAATAGGCATATAATATTTCGAGGTAAGTAATTTATTTATTCCTTAAATATTAATGTTGTTTATAAATAAACAAAATTAATTAATATTTCAATATTAAGAAAAACAATTTGCAATTATTACTTACTTAGACTAAGTAAAAAGGTTTTTAATCTTTGTCATGTTGTGACATGACACATAATAAACCCGAATACCTAATGATCTTGAACTTTTTCGCCAAAATTATTTCTTATTAAGATTTGAGTTCTATCCTAAGAAGTCTTATAACGTTATTTTTTTGATAACTGCCAAATAATGATTATTCTACTTAAATTACATACCATTGTTTGTTTAGATGTGAAAACCCAAGGAGTTACTTTTCTAACATAATTAGTCTAACTGACAATTTTTTCATATCCTGTTATTCCTAAATTCAGTTTCATATCACGATAAGGCTGATCTTTAAAATAATAAAAGATAAGCCTAACTATCTTTTGAACTGGTATTACAACCCTGTTTTTCCCCTTCTTTTCATAAAAAAGGAAGTTGTTTTTAAAGAAAATCTATTCTTTATTATAAGTTAACAACGAAAAAAAGTTAACATAATACTTCTTTCTTCTCTTCCCTAAATTGTAACACATTTACCTGACTATAATAGTCAAAAAGCCTTATTATTGTTTAATATTTTTATTAATTCTTCAAAATTCATGGATTTAAAAATATTTCAAGTTGCAAATTGATTTATAAGAATATTCAATCCTTTATTTTTATTCAAAAATTTTTCGATTTCGTATAAAAAGAACAATTATGTTTTTTTAAACCTTCATTTAAATAAACTTTTTAATTTACTTTCAAATAAAAAATTTTCTCGGCCCAAATTAAGATTGGGTTCCAAATCAAAAAATTCTGGTATTCCTTTTCATGGGTCAATAGAAGAAATACACCAAAATTTTAAAGTTCTTGAAATTTTAGTATTAATTTTTCTTTGTAATTTTTGATGATGTAATAAAAGAATTTAAATTAAAAAGAAATTTGATATAAAATTTTATATCATTGATAATTTACTAATTCTTTCTGAACCATATTTACTACTTGAAGGCTTCTGAAATTAACAAATTATAATATTTCTATTGTATATCTACCAAACAGTCTTTTTAATTTAATTTGATTACAACTTAAAACATTATTTAAATATTCTTTTATTAAAGCTTTATTAATTTATTTAAATGTCGAGACATGATTAAGGTAAAAGAACATTAAAAATCGTAAAAGTGTAAGGAAAATTAACTGTTAAATTTTTGATCACTATTTTTACTATTTACGAAATAAAGTATAAATTGAAATTATACAAATAATTCGTTTTTTTAACTTATAACCAATATTAAATTTTAATTGTCAATCAAAAAATTATTTTTGTTTATCTTTAGTTTTAAACTTAGGTTAAAAAAATTTAAACCCGATCTTTTTAAACACCAGTGTATTTTAATTTAAATTCTTTTAACATTATTTCAAATTTCTTTTTAAATATTTGATCAAAGAAAATTAATTAAATTAAGTTTACTAAAACTTAATTTAATTAAAATTATTATGTATTTGATAAAAAGCATGATATGATAGATATCTTTCACACTTGCTTTTTAAGATCGATTCTCATATTAGATTTTTTTATTAACAACATCATTTGTTAATTTAATTTGTAATATTTATAAACTAACAGTTATTTTTATTAACAACTTATAAGCTTAAGTTATTTTATTATTGAAAATATTTAATGTTTAAAAAATATATAATTAATAACAAAGAGAGGTAGGTTAAAAACTATTGCCAATTCCCTTTTTTGATGTTTGATTCTTATATAAGGTTTCTATATTTTATCATTAAAATTTTATTTTATAATCCTGAAAAAGCGTTTCGTCGAAGAATTAATCGCTAAGCGCTTTTTATGTTCGATTTTAAAAAAATCATTTAAAATACTTTTTATAATAATAAAATATGTTTTATATTTAATATTACAGTAAAGTAATATATCAGATTTAAATTATGAACATTGTCTTTGAAGTTTCAGTTTTTAAGTTAATAAAACTAAAATTATTTTTATAATTAAATCTTCATTATATTAAACTTAAAATTATTCTTTAAATATACTTTTTGAAGAATAAAAAATGCTAATTGATTAATCTTATTAACTCTTTTATTAAAAATTGATTATACAATTGATAAAAAAATAAAATATTATTAAGTAATATAATTAGTTAATAAAACAACTTTTTATAAAAAATTATAATAATGAAAGAAAATATCATAAAAGTTTTTGTATCTATATTTGATTAAATTGTTTTTTATTAATTAAAATAAAATAATCTCTAAAAACCTTTTTTACATTAATAAATTTATTGTATTTCATAATAAAATATGTTTTTATAGCAATTGTTTATTATATTTAAATATATTTGTTAAATCATATTTTATAAAAAACATATATAATAATAAAAATTGGTTTGAAATATTTTTTAGGTTTCTTTAAATAAATATTTTTACGAAATTCAAAGACACAACAATATTTTTTTTAAAAAATACTTGTATTGATTTTATTTAAATCAAAAAATTCATAAAAATAACATTTTTTAAACTTAAAAAAGATAATTTCTTTATTTTAATATTAAAAATATATTTTACATGTACTTAAAGACAATGGTTGTAATTTATCAA